CCGCTCCAGCGTCCTGGCTTGGTAGTTGGTACTCACAAGAATCACATTGGGTTTTGAGCTGTCCCAACCTTCATCCGAACATGGGTGACTGGGGGATATTTATTCACTGATCCTAAAGTCATTGATTGACTTTGATAATAAGCGGTAAGAATATTTATCTAATACCTCTGAATGCCCCTAATAAAGATGGGGCTTTTTTTAAAGTGCCCCATATTGTCCGCCGATTTGCTCACTAGCTAGGAAAAGTCAGTATCGCCAGTCCAGCGCTCATCGTCCCGCTTGCCAATGGAAGAGGAACCGGCGGAGAGCCCAGCAATCTGGCGGCTGGAGCAGGGCACATAAGGCACAGCATGGCCGTGGGCTAGGAAGATGTCCACAGGACTCTGATTGTCCGTGCTTGACTGGGAACCTTGGCTGGAGCTCCTCAAATGCTTTCGAACAGTGGTGAGGTGGTATCCAGAAGGGTGCTCAACGATCTCTTCTACCAATTTCACTGAATCAGATAGGGACACTTGGCTAGGGCCTGGAGGAAAGAACTGGGCGTCCTCAATGTACTCGGTTTCAATCTCGTCGCTATCTGCCCGCTTAAATGGAGTGATATTGCCTGGACAGGTTCTTCGCACCAGCTTATCGGATCCGGGAGAGTCGCCAATGCTCAAAGGCAATGCTACCACCTTTTTGGGGGACATCTGGACCATACGGGCTGGGCCCCGATCGAAGGGATCCAGGGGTGTCCGGAACAAAATTGAATTTTGAAGTATTGAATCTACGGGCAAAGAAAACAGATCTTTGTCAAAGTGCCGAAATACGTCAAGGTACCCGGGGGATTCGGAACTTGACTCGTCGTCATCCAACATGAATCTCTTCTTGGCTGGAGTCAAAGGGAGCGGAAGCGAGAAATCTGATCCAGCATATGTACTTCTCTGATTTAAATTAGCAAATTAGCCAGATGGACGGAGTCATTGGGAACGTACCAAGTTGAAAATATCGGCTGGGAACCCATGATCAAACCAAGAGACTTCAGATTGGGCCGATAGGGACGTTTGACTGTCCTGAGATTTCAAAGTTCGCTTCTCTGCTGGTCAGCACATTCAGGAAGGATGAGATGATGTGTACCTGCATAATTGCTTCCCCCGTCTTGACCGAGTCCCAGAAGTCGTCTGAATCTCTCTCAAACTCACTGTAGGATGGAGTAGGTTGGCTATGCGTATCAGTTACGGTGAAGGAAACGCCTTCGTCCATGAGGGAGCGATGGTGCGCTGAACCATGATAGTTTCGTGTCATCTTTGCTACTGTTGACCGGATGGCTTCTAGGATCTTGTCGGTATTGGCTTTCCAGACGTCTGTACGGGAATCAATGCTAACACCTAGACTGGTGGAATTCGAATTGGCAGCTGGGTTTGGACCCAGGACCAGAGCAGCTGGGGCCGCGATTATGTTTCGACTTAGGTGAAGAATGTTACCACTGAAAGAGGTATCGTTGGTTTGGCTTGTACTGACACCTGGGTCCAGGTCAAGCTTTATCAACTTTTCGGTCCTTTCAGCATGCCGTCTTTTAAATTCGGGATCAATGTCGACAGGAGTCGAAGTTGGACTGGTTGGGCGAACAGTGACCATTGGCATGGCATCACGCAAAGCGCTTTTTGCTTGCTCCCACGCCGAGGGATCCGAGGTATGCGCAGGAACTTCATAACATCCGTCAGGAAGATGAGTGACGGGGTCTATCTCCTCGCCGCCAGAGTTGGAAAAGCGGGTTGCGTCAGAATGATATAACAGACGATTCTGCTCTGCACCCAGAAGGGACCTTACAGGTGTGGATGCACGGCTAGAAATACATTGTTAGCACGTCTTTCGTGGAAATACGCAGAAGACGGGAAGGCATAGGTATATACTGACCTGTTCTGACGCGGAAGCATTGGGCGCATTGAATCCGGCATCGAAAGCACCTTATTGATCTCGTCATTGCCGCTCGCAACCAGCTGCTGGTAGGCGTTTTCCTTATCTTCCGGCCCATTGGACTCAAAAACTGCATAAGGCTCGGTAACATGGATCGAAACTGCTTCATCGCATGCCTCGGTTGCTTCAGTCGTATCCGCAAGTGGTAAATTCTCGACAGGCAGCTCAGGGTCTCCGGAGGGCTCCCTGATATGGATTGAAACCGCCTCGTTACAATCCCCAGTATGCCCAGTCGTAGCCGTGGTGGTATTAGTGACATGGATTGAGATTGCCTCATTGCAATCCCCAGTATGCTGAGCTGTATTCCTGACAGGTTCCCGTCTCGTGTATGTAATGGAGCCAAAGGGGCCAAAGCTCTTACGTCGTCTCATGGCAACATGACCAAATAGACCTGGGCAGAGAGTCAGTGTAGGTATGTTAAATCATCAGAGAGAGCCTACCTGCGAACCCTTCGGACTTTTCTTTTGTTGCCTTGGTTGTTTCTGGGTACTCATAGTTGCTCGACTGACTGTTGGAGAAGAGGCTGAGAAGGTTTCCAACAGATGACCTCCTTCCCACTGGCTTCTTACTGGGGCTCCTATCTGGATCCAGCGGGGTCGAGTCCTTCCAGGTACCATGCGACGGTCGACGACGAGGAGAGCTATACGCATTTCTCACTGATGCATACAAACCCTTCGCCGCCTTCGTGAGAGATCGATATTTCGATCCGGCGTTCTCCTTACCGGTCGGTGTGCGTGGAGGAGTCATGTTTGCTATCGATTCTGGAGTAGGGCCGGGCTGGCAGTCAGTCATTGAGTTCAGTCATTGAGTAACAGAGTCCTCAGACCGTGATGTGATTTTACCTACCTACCTATCTTCGTTTGTTGTAACTCGTAACCAAAATCCTCTCGTCGTGAAGATGTGATGATGTGATGTTGAGAGAATGATCATGACGGAGATAGAAACAGTACTTGGGTGGGTAGGTCAGGTAGTTTGGTACCTTCATCCTGGCCTCCTACTTCCTACTTACCGCTTTGGTAAAGAATAGAGAGCCGCTCGCTCCTTCCCAGTCGCCAGCTATAGATAGCTACTTAAGCGAGGCCAGCCATCGGCTGGTCAGTGGCTACCTGGGTGTACAGCCCAGACAAACACTTCCAAATCCCAAGTCACCAAATGCGTCGGGACATTTGCATTTGCTTTGGTTTGTAGAGATACGTTACCTTGGACCAACCAACACGTAGGGCTACGACTTTTCCCGGATTGCAAAATCGCTCCTGTAATCCGTGTTCTTTCCAGCAATACTCGGAGTTGCGTAGGTAGGCACTTTAAGTGTTACTCAAGCCAGCAGCCATTGAGCATTCATCTGGCTTCTCGCTGCTTCTCGCTGCCTTCAAGTTTGATAAGTGCCTACTTTATCTCTCACCTGATTTCGGGATTGGTTGTCTGAATTGCGTACCCGTAGCCATACAGCTCACAGTAGTTCCTATCGATCAAGATTAAATTGAGTTGATCTAACGAAGTACCGTACACACACGGCTCTAGAGCGGTCGTCACGCCGACGCCAGATCGCGTCGACCGCATCGACTCCGTGCACAACCACTGCCTCGTCTGCAACTTTCGTTTGCATCAACTGAAGGAAACGAAAGCAGCCATTCGTGCATCTTACTTACTTGTACCTATCTATCAATACATAGCGATCATGGCGCCCGGTACACCTGCCCTCGACCTCAACACGATGCTCAATGCAGGTATGCGCACATAAACCCCCAGATTCTAGCCGCTGACCGTCTCGCAGATCGCGAACGTCGCAAGAATGAGACTCTGGCTAAGGAGATATTCGGGAAGAACCGCAGAGCGAGCGCGCCCAGTGGATCGTACAAGCGCAACACCAAGCCTGGAGCAGTCCCATCTTTGGCAAGCAGGATAGGTGTGATTGGGGCCTCAGTCACAAAGGTAGGATCAGCCACCGAGCCTTGAAAGTCCGCATAATTGATATCAAAGCAGCAGCGGAATGCATCGAGTGCAGCGAGACCAGCCAGGCCGACGGCGAGACCACAACCAGCCGTAAATGTCAACTCGGAATGGACCCACGACCTTCATAACTCCAACAACCTTTCATCGAGAGCCTCCCAAGCACCTCCTCGCGGTCCTAAGGCTGGGCGTGCGAACCGCAATGAACGAATACACTCTGCGCTCAGTGGTTCAGCCACGTCGCCTTCGCTCAACGGCCAATTCAACATAGTCGGTACCTCCAAGCCTGCCTCCAGCATATCGATTCGCGGACTGGCAGGCCCGGCTCTAGTAGTCATAAAGAACCTCGCAACAGGAACTACAGCAGCAGATATAGAATCTGCAATGGCACCAGTCGGAGGATCTGTGCTGAGCTCCCGTATTACTTCTGAGAGACCGAAGGTTGTCGCAGAGCTTGTCTTCGAGACGAAAGAGGGTGCTGACAACGTTGTTGATACCTTCAACAACCAGAATGTAAGCAACCTGGACTTCTTAACGAATGATCATCTAACAAATTACCACAGGCTGATGGCAACCGACTCGAAGTCTACCACCACACCGGTCCGCTCCCAGCCTACGTAAAGCTACCAGTTCAACCCCCCGCACAACAAATACACACACCGCAAGGACCACGAGCAGATATCAATAGAGACAGACGCTCAGGATACGAAAACCACCGGTATCCACTGCGAGAGCGCAGTCGGGAGCGAAGACGGCAATACAGCAGAGACGATGTGACAGATGGATCGTATGGCTTCGATGACCGGATGGAAACTGACGAATTCGTGAACGGAGGCTTGTACAGCGATAACCTGATCTCAAGCAAAGGTCGAGGAACAGTCAACAACAGAGAGCGCGGTGGTGACTGGGGAGAAAGAAGACAGTCCTACAGATGAGATTGGATATAAATGGACACCCCAGAAAATTTCACGACTTCGATAGACGAATACCTGCGTGGTATCAGAAGAGTTCCCTCAAACCTTCCAATTATTGTAGCAGGCAATTGCATTCGGCCCGCCACGCGTTGCCTCTTTTTGAAGATATTGCGATCAGTGGTACCTGCTTTAGAAGACCATAAGAAACCGCGCTTGCTTGCGAGGCTCTTCGAATGAATCTGTGTATTAGATTCCGTAGTAAGTAGTACATGAGTTCCAATGTACAATTGACGAGCCACTCCCCTACGTTCAAGAGTCAAAGTCCAGCTGTTCACGATATCCTATCATCCCCCAAGCTTCCCATATAACAGCCTCTTTCGACTTCCACATCAGCTTATGTCTTGACTAAGAGCATGTGCCCCTTATTTGCAAGTCATAGTCATTTAGCGCTTCCGTTGGAACAACCATTTCCAGCTGCCAATAGGGGTTTTGACCGTTTTGAACTCATGAGAAGGGCAGCGTTTTCTTGGGCTCTTCCGTTTCCGTTACCGAGTCCTTGATGTAATAATCCACGATAACTTTTTCGTCTTCGACCCATAAGTTTTGTTCTTCTTCCTTACTACCTAGTCCCTCAAGTCTTTTTTTTTTTTTTGTAAGATTGCGGAATGTAGATTCTGTGCATACGTGCTATCTCCCTCTTCTTCGCTTTGATAATACAATACCACCCTTCTTCTAGCTCCGGCAAGCTACTAGGTAAGTTTACTATTTGAATTATTAGCTTTACGTAATAGGTAATGATTTATACAGACAAACTCATCTACCTATATACAAGCCAAATCCTGATCGCTTACAGTAACCGTATAGGGAATGTCTTACTTTCGCTACCTTTATCCTGTTCTTTTTATCGGTGCACTCAGTCTCTACTTGTAATCGCGTAATTAGTATAAGCTTATGCAACTTAAGTGAAACTTGCCTCAAAGGCAGGTAGGGGGCTATCTAAACGGTTAGCTGATTATTCGATGACCATCTCTATTAGGGACGGTCTTACAAGGTGGCTGGTGGATCACCCTAGGTCTATAGCTGAACTGGAGTCAAAACTGTAGTTCAACGGTTTAAACGATTTGAATTATACCTGACATGAAGGCGGCTTAGTCGATTGGACTATCTTTTATAAGGGTCCGTCTTTTCGTGAAAAGATCTTTACTAAAGAATTACCGTTTTAAAGGATCGAATCGTCATTTATAAAAGTCGGTCTTTTTACGAAAAGACCATCCTCGGACCGTCTCCGACCGTTTTGGGACCGTCCCATGTCTGTCCCCGAACTATGAACCGTCTTCGAGGACTTAAATTATATGTAGTAGAATATGCTCTTCAGTTCCCCGTTCCTTCTCCCCCCTCCCCCCCACCACCTTATCCACCCTTCCTCGCCACTTATAAAGCGAGAGAATTGCGCGGGATTGAATCGATTGATCCCGATTTCAAATCTTTCAAAGCGTTAATTCAAAAGCAGTGGCAGCGATAACGAGAAATATCTTGGCACGTATTTGTTAAATTATAATCAAAAACGATACCATATGAAAAATAGTTTCTACGTTTCGATGAAATTTTATTTAAGATGATCACTAAACGGTTTTAAATCTTCAGAATGAGCTCTTAAAGAAACCTGTTCTATATAATTAAACGGGGACGGCTATAGGACGGTCAAGGTACGGTCTCTTGCTCGAGGACGGTCTCGCGAATGAACTTCGTATCCCTGAATAGAGCTTAGTACTGAATTTGAGCGGTCTAATAACCGTCTGTGGGAGGGCTAGCACAATCGCGAAGATGGACTTCGATCATAGCCATCGTATTTGTGAGAGTCTTTTACTAACGCGAGCTAACGAAAAGCAACAAGCCTGCAAAGGAATAAGATAATGAATTGAATCAAAAGCAGATGCAAGAGATGCAAGAAGAAATATATATCATTTTTTTAAATAGTATTTGAAATTTCTACGCCGGCAGCGCACTGACTATTATGGATCGTTATCAACACAACGCTTTATTACTTAAGGTAGCTAGTACGGCCGATTTGTTCTTTAAGACATTCCACCAAAAAAAAGAGAAAAAAAAAAGAGAAAAATAGACCGCTACCCGCCAATATTGGATTTTTGATAGAATATCGTATATAATTCAAAGTAAAACTGTTTATATTTGGAAATCTAATGGATTAAATCCGAAATCTGATAGCCGACATTAATGTCCTTCATGTCCATACTAATTTTTTAATATCGACATTCTTAAATAGGTAACGTCTGAGAGACTAACTAGTAAAGCCATCTTACAGAGAACCTTTGGTTTCCCATTCTTGATTGGAATAATTCATAGCAATAGCGTAAATAGCTTCAAATTTTTAAGTGTTGATGCGAAAGACTGAAAACATGCCCAACTATGAATATTCAACTATTATGAGGCTTTAGAAATAAAACAAAAATACCATGACATTCTTCTTGGCTTTCTGACCCTCAGCGTATTTTTAGATTGTTTTATATCTATCGAATTGACTGATGCCGAGAGGGCGTTCCGATGCGTTCCGATGAAAATGCGCTGATCACAAAATCAAACCCTTTTTAAAGATTTAGTTCGTTATTATAACAAGATCAAAACTACATAAGAAAGGAAGTATTACATAAAAAAATACACCGAGAAAGCGTTTCTGTACCCCCGAGCAAGTACAATTATTAATTGGCGCTATGATAGCTCGAAAAATGGAAATGTTGACCCGAATTCCAGGCGATCCTCACCAAAGTGCGACCAAAAGGCCTCACAGGCGCCACAGAGGGATTCATGGGGTTTGTAGGTCTTAGATTGATTAGGCTCCATTGGGAAATTTTATGGTTTGGTTTCTCGCTTAACCCCAAAATCTCGGAAAGCGGGGCGGAGGATTTTACGGAGTAAGATGAATCGTACCCCTGGTCGGAAGTCGGAGTACCGTAGGTACAAGTCAGAGGCAAGGATTGAGGTTTCTAGTTTTATAATCACACAAGAAGATTCTTAAACCGCTTTGCCGCATTCATCCATGAGATTGTAGCACTCTAATTCTTGTCGTAACCCGTTGTTCGAGGATATACGGAATCACGATGAGCATCCGGCTGTTTCCAGCATGTGAAGAGGAGAGATATCAGAATCAGTGCCAAGTGCTGGACCAAAATCCATTGCTTTGAGGCTGACACTACTATCCCCACCCCATGAATAAAGGGCAGGATTCCAAGGGTGACACGGGTAGACTTTTGCTGTGTTTTGGCTCGTGCCACCCATGGGATGCTGCCTTTTATTCATGTGGGGAGGGTAGGTAGGTACCGGTAATAGAGTCGCTTCTACTTTACAGAGTGCCAGTCTAGCAACGAAAAGAAAACAAAGAAGTTGCCTTGTCTACACGAATTCAGAGAGTTGAGAACTCATTGCCGTCAGGTTTAAAGCCAGTATGTAAAATCCGGCCCAATTTGTAGAAACCAAGGGGGGGCTTCGGTGTCTGGTTCAGAGCTAAAATCGACTTTACAAACTGAGTTGGAGAAACTACTACGTATTTCGCCACCCTATACAAATCCGTACAAACTGTCCAAACCTTTTGACCCAACTCTACAATCAGTTCATAAGTTTATACGCTAGCTAAGCCACGAACCTCGATAGTCTTACAATAATCCTGCAGTAGTCGGAGATTCCACGTACTACTACATCAAATTGTACTCTAGAAAAAAATAATGACGCATCGAAGTCACGAGGGATACGGGTCGAAATCTTTTACAGACCTAATTGATTCTTTAAACCAAACGTTTAAATTAACGATTTGTACAAACCGTACTTTACAAACTAGAGTTTCTACAGACCCAGTTTTTGAAACAGTTTTTACATGCTGGCTTCGAACCAGACGGGCCCTTACACGCGCCGCCGCCCAAGCCCTCGACCCAACCCAGCCCAACCCAAGCCAAACGAGCATTAGGAGCGCCCTCAGTTGATGAATTATCGTATATTTAGCTACTTATAGTATGCAAACACAGACACGACTCTTCGAAGAATAAATTTTTTTTTCCTCGGGCGTGTCCATTTTAATCCGCTGCAAATTTGAGTGTTGTTTGGGATGCCCTTCTCGCCAGATATTACCCGGCCGTGATTCATACCCACGCCAAGAGGGCAGCTCCTCCAACCTCATTCAACTCCATATCTGCGAGGACGGCGACCACCCGCCGAAGACTTATCCCGACCCGCCATGCGACGTTGACACGCAACTGGATTTCCACGGGCTCCATCTGCCTCCCCCGAGCCTCTCCTTCCGCCTGCGACGCGTTCTGGGCCCCCAACTCTTCCCATCACAAGGGCGACGCTTTGTGCTCCGGTGAGGTAGCTGTACACAACCGGCTGCGGTCCTGTCCTGCCCTGCCTATCAGCCTGCGTACGATACCTATCGGTGCTCTTCCGCGACGTCTGATTCAGCATGGATCAATGGCAGCAATCCTACTCTGACCAGGCCGGTTCCTCTCGAAGATATAACGGCAACCCCCCACCATCTCAGGCGCAGATGGCGCGCGACTACAACGGCAACGGCAGCAGCTGCGCTCAGGCCCAACCTCCTGCTGGCTTCACGTACGAGCAATATCAGGGTGGAATGGGTGCGCATCCTCACTCATCGACAACGTCCCCCGCGGCAGCGCCCCATATGAGAGACGGGAACGGTGATGTAGCTATGCAGGATGCTGGAGACTCGTACGGTAGCATGAAGTATCCGATGCGACCCTTACATCAACAGCATCTTTCTGCCGGACGGATACAATCACTCCACTCGTCCCAGGAACCATCCGCGGCAGCGCAGAGATACTCACCGATGGAAACTTTGTCGCCTAGTTCGCCATACGGTGCACCACAGCAAGGCCAGAATCAATACGGGTCACGGCAATCACCAACAAGAACTGGGAGCTACTCTTCACCAAACTCATACTATACCAACCGCCAGCAAGCGCAGCAATTGGCTCCGATCACTCCATATTCGAACAATAATGACAGCTATCCTACCTCTGCAACGCAACAACTGAATGCCGTCTTCGGTAACGACCCGAAGTCGCCCCGGCGGCCGGTGACCCACGCAGCGATGGGCCCTCCAGGTCGCGGGCCAGTTCCTGAATTTACTAAGCTTCGATCTGTGGCCGATTTGCAGCCCAAGATTAATGCGCAGCCTGCGTTCAGACGGGCGAACCCAGAAGGCGGATTTATTAGTGTAAGTTGGGTCACTGTAGAAGAAGAAGCGATCGCTGACTTGAGATGATAGCCACTACAAGCTCTCACAAGTCATCTCCCGTCAACATACCGCATCTGCAATCCCAGCTTCAAGTACGAGTCCTCCCGGAATCCTCGCCGTGTCCTCACCAAGCCAAGCAAGGGTGTGAAGAACGATGGATTCGATAACGAGGACAGTGACTATATACTTTATGTGAATGACATTCTTGGGTCGGAGGAGACTGGTCATAAGTATGTCTCGAGGTTAAGACGTCCGTAATCTTCGAGATGGTGTGTGCTAATATATACTCCAGAAATCGATACCTCATTCTTGATGTCCTCGGACAAGGAACGTTTGGCCAGGTTGTTAAATGCCAAAATTTGAAGACGCAGGAGGTGGTTGCGGTGAAAGTGGTCAAGAATAGGACAGCATACTTCAACCAAAGTATGATGGAAGTGTCTGTTCTCGATCTGGTAGGATTGCTCCGAAACGCCCCCTGGACTCCGCTGAACTCATGCTAATCCACTCATGTAGCTCAACACAAAGCTTGATAAGAATGACGATCACCACATTCTTCGATTAAAAGACACATTTATTCACCGACAGCATCTTTGCTTGGTATTCGAGCTGCTGAGCGTCAATTTATACGAATTGATCAAGCAGAATCAGTTTAGGGGGTTGAGCACGACACTAGTGCGGGTATTTGCACAGCAACTTCTCAATGGGCTGAGTCTACTGAATAAGGCCCGACTCATTCATTGCGATTTGAAGCCCGAGAATATCTTGCTAAAAAATCTCGAAAGCCCCATCATCAAGATCATCGATTTTGGCTCAGCTTGCGACGAACGCCAAACTGTCTACACCTATATCCAGTCGAGATTCTACAGATCGCCCGAGGTTCTGCTTGGCTTACCATACTCGTCGGCTATCGATATGTGGTCACTAGGGTGTATTGTTGTGGAATTGTTCCTGGGTCTTCCTCTCTTCCCAGGTTCATCGGAGTACAACCAAGTAACTCGGATAGTAGAGATGCTAGGTAATCCGCCAAGCTGGATGCTTGAGATGGGGAAGCAGTCTGGAGAGTTTTTCGAGAAGAGACACGACGTGGATGATTACGGAAGACGAACATATAACTTGAAGAGCATGGAGCAATACTCTCGCGAGCATGGCACCAAGGAGCAACCTAGCAAGAAGTATTTCCAAGCCACCACACTCCCAGAGATCATTCGATCATACGCCATGCCCCGGAAAAACATGAAGCAGAGCGAGATCGACAGGGGTTAGTAAACCCCCCCCCTTTTTTTTAAACAACATGTTGCTAAACTCTTGCCTAGAAATGAACAACCGGGTCGCGTTCATTGACTTCGTTCGCGGACTTCTAAACATTAATCCGTTGGAGCGATGGTCGCCACAACAAGCGAAACTGCATCCTTTCATCACTCAGCAAAAGTACACGGGTCCATTCGTGCCTCCCATGAACCTTAAATCCAGCTCGATTAACCGATCTCCTGCTCCTGGTACGCAACAGCAGCAGCAAGCCGAGGCATTGAGCAAGCAGCGTGCCCAAGCAGCCCAAGCACAAGTGCAGGCCCACACTGCTCAAGTGCATGCATCTTACTCGGCTGGTCCTCCAATGGGCCAGTATCCTCAAGCCAGCCCAGGTCAACCACCGATGTATGCAAATACGAACATGTATTCCCCGAATACAAATATGCAAGGCGCTCCGCCACCATATCCTGCCCAACAGCAGCAGCCACCACCTCCTGGATCATATAACCAGATGGGTATGATGCCTCAGCACCCTCCCACCCAAATGACCCCTACGCAATACACGCAACAGGGCCCACCACAACACCCACAACAACACCCACAGCAGCAACAGAGTCAACAAAGTGTCTACGCGCAACAAGCTGCTGTAAGATCCGGTCGTCAAAGGGCTTCCACAATGGAGGTCCAACAAGGAGGAATACCGGTGACTATTCAGCGAGTTGCAAGTCACCTTGACCCGACTCAACCTATTCGCTTACAACCAAGTCCGGCATACTACCCACCGCCACCCGAGGGCGCACCTGATGGAAATCCCGGTAGCGCGCGAAGGAGAGGTAGCAGAGCTGCTCAGGGCCAGGGAGGACAACCTGGGCAGAGAAGCAACCGAGACTTCATTCGCAATCTGGAAGATCGTACGCTCGAGGAAGGCTTCATGGGCCAGAGCCAATGGCATTGAGCCGGCTTCTCGCTTGATCCTCCGGCAGGGAGGGTCGGCGCCGCCAATACCATTCATGGCTGCTTGTAACTCGCCCCAACCATTTTGCTGTTTACAGGCGGTAGCGCCAGGTATCTGCGGCTACGGGATGGTTTTTTCTTTTTCTTTTGCAAATATGACTGATCTACTGGTTCCGCCTCCATGAGGGTGGATTTCGAACTATGACTTGCAAGCGTGGTGAGAGAGACAGGGCAGAGCCCAACTCTCGCTCATAGAGGCGGATCAAAGGGGTTTCATACGTATGGCAACTTGTACACAAGGTCTAGCTGGACATGCATTGCATCTGGGCTAGGGTGGAGGGAAGGGGGGTATTGGCGGACGTGGACTACGCTGGCTTTGCTAGCTTCAGGCTGAATGAAGGATCGGGCATGCATTGCTGGCTGACAGGGAAGGGCGTTTTTCAAAGTCATTCATGTAACTTACTGAGATTGCATGGGGGAGCTAAGAGGGAGCTGCGAGGTCCTGAATCAATGGCTTCACTGAACTTGATCCATTGATCGATTGTAGCAGTCACAGGCTATTTGCCGTGCTGAGTCACAGATCTTGCCTCTGAAAAACGAGAGGCAACAGCTTTTGAAATAATTAATTGGGTGAGTGGTTGAAAGTGAGAAGTCACTTGTTCGTTCCACTTGCTATGCACTGTTTGGTATAGTATAAAACCTAATATATGACCAGAATTGTATGCGCAAATCGCGTATACGCGTTTTCTTACACACAGAGTGCCCTGAGGTTGGTGCTTGTAGAGAGCACGTGAACCCGCGGGGAAATCTTGATAATGACGCATCAACCCAAATTCCTCAAATTCCTCAAATTCCTCAAATTCCTAAATCCTGAACACCTACACTAGGCTGCAAATGGTTGCAAATAGTGCCGGTCTACTTTTACTACATGTCATTCTAATTTGGCCAGTCAACTTCTCAAAATTCCTTATCGCGAATCCTCCCTGAAACGTTCTCGAGTTCACCTTTGGCTCTGGCCAGTTAGGTAGGTAGTATTCACCTCGACCGACGAACCACCCATCCTAAATCTAAATCTACGCTCTCCCAAAACTCTTTACGTTAATCATAATTCCTTCAACCGCAAACCTCCTCGATGGATTCCCAAAACAGATCCTCGATGGCTTCTCAATCCGAACAGACTCAGCTCGAGATGAGTGAGGGTGGCGTCATAATCTCTCAACAACCCGATACAACTCCGCCCTCTATCGCAGAAGCTGCAGCCGCTGTCGCAGACGAAGCAGTCGAGAAAGAGAGCAACATCGAAGGCGCCACGCCATCAGTGCCAATGGATGAAGCTGCCGTGCTGCAAGGATTGACTGAAAATGTATTGGACCAAGAGGACTTGGAGAGAGATATCACCAACAAGGCGAACTTGGTCATGATTGAGCAGGAGGATGAGCGTGACGAAAAGAGAATATCCAAGGTCAATGGTAGTATTGAGAAGCTTGAGAGCGAGAAGCGGAGGAAGAAACAGCGTCTACAAGCCATGGCCAGCAACCCTCTGATGCGCAAACGCTGTTCGGAGGAGATCACCCAACTCGATGCCGACATTGCTGCCCTAAAGAATGACATCTCGGATATACGAAGTCGCATTGCTGAGCGACATCAGGTCGATGGGGCAGAGAATGGAGACGATGCCGGGGGCAATAAGCGTATGGCGAACGAGAGTCATCGGGACTTCCTCATCCGTACCGGCAAGATAACACCTTTCTCACTAATTCCTGGCCGGGATTCTGAGGCTGTCGAGATGAACCTGACTTCTGTCTTGATGGATGCCGAGGAAGAGGCAGAAGAAAAGGAGGATATTCCCGAGCCAGAGCATAGATCCCATCAAAATCTACGCATGCCTGGCTTTGCCGACGCTTCAGATGTCCCTATTGTACAGGAGGAATTTGGCCTACGTCCTCGCAAGAAGGCAAGACTGAACAACGGATCCACTTCTTCTAAGCCACGAGCTCGCAAGTCAACTCCAATTGAGGAAGACGATTTCACCCCCGACGTTTCTGGTGGCGAGGGCGACGAGTTTGAAGAAGAGGAAGATACTGACGATGTCATGCACTCCCAAGGATCAAAGAAGCGACGTGCTGGCAAGGGTAAAGCCGAGGAAAAGGTAGACCTTGGAGCCATTGATGACGGAAATGAGCAGATGTATCAGGCCCGCTTGAACACATGGGTTGAAAAGAGAAGCGCGGCTCGGCATGGCACATTACTCAGGAACGAAGCAACAGACGAAGAGCAGCTAGCTGAAAATGGAGATGAAGAGGAATGGTTCAAGCCTTGTCCTGATGCGCCCGATCATCAATTCGACAACGGACTCAAGCTACCGGGCGATATATACCCAGCTTTATTCGACTACCAGAAGACAGGCGTTCAATGGCTCGGTGAGCTCTACGCTCAACAGGTTGGTGGAATTGTGGGTGACGAGATGGGACTCGGCAAGACAATCCAGATCATCTCCTTTCTCGCTGGCCTACACTACAGTAAGAAGCTTACAAGACCTATTATTGTTGTGGCTCCTGCAACGGTCCTGCGTCAATGGGTGAACGAATTCCATCGATGGTGGCCACCTCTCCGCGTGTCAATCCTTCACAGCTCTGGCAGTGGCATGTTGAACGTTGGTAGTGAGGGACGAATGGATGACTCGCAGGAGATCTATGGTCGTTCTAACGGGAAGTCGAAGTCCTCCAAGGCTGCTAAAAAGATCGTGGATCGAGTTGTCAAGCATGGACATGTTCTCGTTACTACGTATGCTGGTCTTCAGACCTATGCAGATGTACTGATTCCCGTTGATTGGGACTACGCAGTGCTTGACGAGGGCCACAAGATTCGCAACCCAAATACAGCAATCACCATTTACTGCAAAGAGTTGCGCACACCAAACCGAGTGATCCTTTCGGGTACACCATTGCAAAACAACCTCGTTGAGCTTTGGTCGCTCTTTGACTTTGTGTTTCCTATGCGATTGGGCACTCTCGTCAACTTCCGGCAGGCGTTTGAGGTTCCTATCAAGCTCGGTGGCTATGCAAACGCTACCAACCTTCAAGTTTTGACGGCTACCAAATGTGCGGAGACACTGAAGGCAGCAATCAGTCCGTATCTTCTCCAGAGACTCAAAGTTGACGTTGCTTCGGATCTTCCCAAGAAGAGTGAGCAGGTTCTCTTCTGCAAGCTCACCAAACCCCAGCGAGAGGCGTACGAGATGTTCTTGTCTTCTGATGAGATGACTTCGATCATGGACCGGACCCGCCAATCTCTGTATGGTATCGACATCTTGCGCAAGATCTGCAATCACCCAGATCTCCTCGATCCTCGATTGAAGGGCAAGCCCGGCTACCGGTGGGGGAACCCAAACAAGTCTGGAAAGATGCAGGTTGTGAAGGCTCTGCTGGAGATGTGGAAAGGCTTCGGCCACAAGACACTCTTATTCAGCCAGGGCGTACTGATGTTGAACATCATCGAGGAATTCGTCAAAGGACTCAACGGATTCAATTATCTTCGAATGGATGGGAGTACCAGCATCAAGGAGAGACAGACCTTAGTGGATCGCTTCAATAACGACCCTGATCTTCATGTATTCTTGCTTACGACGAAAGTCGGTGGACTTGGTGTCAATCTTACAGGTGCAAACCGTGTCATCATCTTCGACCCTGATTGGAATCCCTCAACAGATGTTCAAGCACGAGAACGCGCCTGGCGCTTGGGTCAGAAGAAGGAAGTCACCATCTACCGTCTGATGACCGCAGGTACCATTGAAGAGAAGATTTATCACCGACAGATCTTCAAGCAGTTCTTGACCAACAAGATCCTGAAGGATCCTAAGCAACGCCAGACGTTCCAGATGAAGGATCTCTACGATCTGTTCACTCTTGGCGGCACGGATGATGGTACAACCGAAACTGGAGAAATGTTCAAGGGTACCGAAGTTCAGTTCAATAAGACACCTGAGCCTGCTACATTAGAAGACACTGTTGCGATTAAAGCTGCTGCCGTTCGGAACGAAGGAGTGTCTCAGGGCATCACCCAGCCTGATAGTCCAGATCAAGGAGACGTCAGCACAGATGTTCGCAACCTCGCAGGTGTTGCCAGTCTCGAAGCATTCCGTGGTGATCCAGACCAGGATAAACCACCGTCTGAGGAGGCCAGACTCATGGAGGGTATCTTCGCTCGCTCCGGTGTCCACAGCGCTTTGGAACACGACCAGATCATCAACGGCAAGAAGAAGATCACGGGAGACCGCGGCATGATTGAGAGAGAAGCTAAGAAAGTCGCAGCTGAAGCCGCAGCAGCTCTCCGCAAAGCAGGTGAAGCAGCACAGAGCATCACTCCTGGCACGGTCACTTGGACTGGGGAATTTGGCTCAGCAGGAAGACCAGTCAACATTCGACGAGGCGCTGGGACTAGCTCTGCTGGTATCCTCTCTGGGCTTGCAAACCGGCAAGGCCTCTCGGTCCCTGGCAGCGCTAGTAGCTCGAGATCCGCAACCCCCGGCTTGGCTGGCGATAGACCTCGGGCTGGAAAGGATTTCATGAAGTTGATTCGGGACTTTATCAAGCGACAGGGTGGGTCGGTTCCCAGTCAAGCTCTGGTCAATCACTTCAATCGGATGTGTACTACGGAACAGCAGACGGCTGAATTCAAGCATATGCTGGGGGAGATTGCGAGACTGGAGAAGGGTAGTAATCTGAGGATGAGAGGTAGATGGGTTCTCAAGGATGAATTCAAGTAGATATGCCATACTACACGAAGCATGCGTATGGGAGGAACATGGTTTGATCTTTGGAGGTGTGTCGAAGGCAAGACGCATACCTACCTACCTCACTGGGATTTAGCGCAGGCGTTCGGGGAGGCATGGGTACTCATGGCATATGAGTTGTGGAATCAGAAATATCCAACGATAGATATGAAGTCAAATGCAACCGAAAGTTCAGAAATCAAACCATGCTTGAGCTTGCTCATTGTTTGGAATGGTGAAGTGTATCAATGCCTAAGTAACTGTTCCAACTATTTCAGACAGTTCTGGCTCATCCTTACAGATTAAGCATCATGACAAAATAAGCTCCAAGCAGATGGCCGCCAACACTAACCCTAACCCTAAGTCTGCCCCTCCCCCACTAACACAACCCCACTACCAAATCTACGCTAGGCAAGCCGACCTCAGCCTCGTCCATAGCCTTGCATCTTTACCATCCATCATCTACTTGAATCTCGAACCTCATAACTACAATCCTCATCACCATCTCTTTCCGTCTCAAAGCCACCGATCTGTTAACCAACGAAAACCCCGCCATCGTCCACCATGCGCAAGAAAGCCTGCCTTACCGACGTGGTCGTCGTCCAGAGGGGCCTACGTCCAGCATCTCTCTCTCCAGTCCTACCAAATATCAAGAAGAGGAAGAGGAGACCGTTGCTGAACCTGCCTAATAAGGGCTACTTCTCGAAGCGGAGACCTGCCTTCGATGCCTTTGAGGTAAACTTTTGGCTGCAACTGAGGATGAGATGATGGGGCTCATAATGTCGAACAGGTGAAGCAGCAGGTGTCGGACAACGAGGGCAATACTCTGAAGAAGATCCGGGTTGTTTCTCCAGAGACTGGCATCCATGTGAGTGTTTTCGACTTCCATCTGCATAAGAAATTGGCTTTCTTGAACTTTCGAGGTCCAACCGCTCTCTCTGGTCTCCAGCATGACTTTGCTGACTCCAATCCCTCCACAGTCGAAAGCCTGGGCTCTCCAGATCGCAGAACAGACCGCTCCTCTCCTCCGGATCCCAATTGAACTCCGACAACGCATTTTCGAGATCGTCCTCTCCGATTACGATCTGACCCTCACCCCTCACAAATGTGGAAAGCGGTTCCTCAACATTGCAGGCCGCACCCGCTACACTTGCAGATCCCGACATGATTCAATTGATGTTGAGGATCCCAATTACTTTCGTCCGAATAGTGTAGTCGACTTGTATATATACTTGTCTATGCTTTGCCGGCAGACGTACGTGGAAATTGTTGGAGGTGCTTGGCTGTATCAGATTGGGGCTTTCAACTTCAACAGCCCGACGCTGATGTACAACTATATCAATCGGATCAACCGTAAGTACTAATTGTTCTCCCTTCAAACTTGGGCGAGGACTTTGGGCTTTGGGTGGTAGAGGTTGGGTGTCTTGTCTGCAAAGTCTTCAGGAAGACACTCATACTCTGTCCCAGGTCATGGTCCACAATTCTAGCTCTTCAGACTTTCGGAGTTTTCATGGCTTTCTGGGAAATATTCCAAGACCATATGCTAACTTGAGCCTTCAGCCTTCCACGCCTCCAACATTTCTGCCATCCACCTCCGAGTCCGCCTTACCCGCAATGCCCCCAACATCCCCAGGAAGATAATCACCACCCTCGCAAGTCTCCAGCCTAGTCTCCGCGATCTGTCCTTCGAGGTCTATGTCGAGGCGGATCTCTGTTATGAGCTAAAACTGCCTAACTACCAATACAAGTTCCTGGAACACCACGAGTTCCTGCCCAAAGAGGATATATGTGTCAAGCTGGAGTCGTCGAAGAACTGGGAGTTGTTGCAGAATTTAAGAAGTTTTGAGATGGCCTTCTGCGGGAGCTATCGGCTTTTGATTGACAGTCACAGTCCGAGGCTCATTGCTGTCCGGGAGGAGATCAAGAAGGTCGTTACGAGGGCTGCTGGCGTTAACTAGGTACACGGTGATATTGTGGGCAGGCGTCTGCGAATACCTCGAAATTCCGGTATGGTCTTCCGTACCATCTGGTGGTTGAATATGTCCTGTGTTTGGTGTACTGTTTGTATGCTTCCCATCTTGAGAGAGATGTATTTTTAATCCACTGTCTGCAACCAAACATCCTTAGAACCAGTACTCGGGTGATAAATTCATGCCAGATTGGTATATGTAACGCTCATTCCCGTTTCTATTCCCTATTCCCTATTCCCATCCATCCTGTACATCATGTGCCTCTTTTTCCATCAATCATTCGAGAATAGACTGTTTAAGTTCTGAGACTCGTCCAACACAGGAGCGACTGACTGACTGACTGACTGACTGACTGACTGACTAACTGACTAACTGAACCCAGTAGGTAGAACGAAACTGGCTCAGGGTACTCGCTCCCCTGGCCTATATCTACGATGAACTAGATCCCGAGCCGCCTGTCATCCCAACCGTTCGTTCATTTCTCACGAGCGGAGCTCTCAGGACGTCTTTCCCGACGGGCCTTTTTCCCTTGATGAGTAGCCACTCAGCAATGAGTAAGTCAGTAAGCAGCAAAGAAAGAAAGCATGAAAGAGAGAAGGTGAGCTCGAGGCTTCTCCGGCCCGGAAAATTCGCAGTTGTGATCCTTTTCGTCCGTCTTGTTCTTCTTCTTCTTCTTCTTCTTCTTCTTCTTCTCATCACTTTTTAGCGAGACTTGCTGGTGTGTATTCGTAACGGGAGAGGAGAAGCATAGAAAAAACCCCCCCAGCTAGCTAGCTAGCTAGCTGTTCCCACAAGAGTCCACGCCGGACGCAGGATGGGTGATGGCTGTGTATGGATGGAATAGGAGAAGCAGGCCTTTACGTGTCTAGGGTCTCGGGAGTGGGAAAGATATAGAACACACACACACACACACCGGTGGGGGCATTCGTGGTCCTGGCTGGCTTGCACTTGCTAACTTGATCCGTTCCTCGATGCGCTTTCCGTGTCCGCTTCCTTACTGCTGCTGCGGGTTAAGCTGAAGTGCATGTATGTATGTATGTATGTATGTATGTATGTATGTATGTTTGTATACTCAAGGTCCCTGATTTTATAAAGAGAGCAGTCTACTCTACTCTACTCTACTCGACCCTGCTTTGCTTAGCGAGGGCTTGCCTGCAAGTCAGTGGGGATATATATACACCTGTACTGTATGTAGGTTGGTAGGGTACTGCGCGAGAAAATCCAGCCCCACCTCCATCATCCACGCAAGTCGACTCCTGCCTGGATCTTGTCTTCCTATATATACACTATCAGCCCGAATCGCGAGCTGCTGCTTATTCGAACGGGTATCCTCAGATGTAAATTCGGGACTGTGGAGGTTTCAGATCGTGCCTGAATGAGATGGTTGGGTGTGTGGGTTATGGTAGGCTTCTGATGAGCTTATGGCAGCTTTTTTGGGGGAGGGGGGGGAGGGATAGGAAGAGGGTGTTCCTCTTCCCGGGTTATACAAGTAAGTAAGTAAGAAAGTAGGACGATGGTGAGAGAATGGCGCCGGGCAGGATTAGGAAGGAGAAGGAGAAGAAGAATGTATGCACAAGCCAAGGACGGAGAGAGAGAGAGAGGGAGGGGGG